GGATGACAATGACTATCATGGTAACCGAAAAATGTGATTAGATTACATTTTCATAGATGACAGCGAGAGAGAGCAACGGTAGTAATGCCTGCCACTATCCTCCAGATAGAAATCGCTTAACTTGACTGTCACATAAAGCCCAGAAAATATGAAGCAATTCCATATGAGAAAGTGAGCAAATTTATTTGGCAACATCATTACATTTAAGTAAACTAATAATTTTAGTTTATTAACTACTATTACGTTTATTGTGATAGTATGTGTTATATTGAAGATGTGCTAGTGTGTAAATGTGAGATTTTATATTTTTAGTATTTCTCAATGACATTTGTGTACTTCATTTCGTAGGAAAGGTATTTTTTGTTAGAGCATTTTGTACATATGTTCGTAAGGACTTTAAATTTGAGAGGACTGAATACGTTGGAATTTTTATAGCTTTTACAGAAAATCCAGAGATTTTCTATGAGAAACAATTTTCTATGAGAAAATCCTACAGATTTTCCATGAGAAACTCTTTCAGATTTTCTTTTAGAAAATCCAAAAGATTTTCTATGAGAAAATAGATCTTCTAAGAGAAAACCCTCGAGATTTTCTATGAAAAAACCCTCGAGAATTTCAATAAGAAAGTCCTCGGAAATTTCTATGAGAAAATCTAAAGATTTTCTATGAGAAAATCCTATGAGATTTTCTATGAGAAAATCCTATGAGATTTTCTATAAGAAAATCCTGAATCTATGATAGAATCCTCGAGATTTTCTATGAGAAAATCCTACAGATTTTCTATGAGAAAATAGATTTTCTAAGAGAAAATCCTTTATATTTTCTAAGAGAAAATCCTTTATATTTTCTAAGAGAAAATCCTTTAGATTTTCTAAGAGAAAATCCTATAGATTTTCTAAGAGAAAATCCTATAGATTTTCTAAGAGAAAATCCTATAGATTTTCTATGAGAAAATCCTAGAGATTTTCTATGAGAAAATCCTAGAGATTTTCTATGAGAAAATCCTCGAGATTTTCTGGGAGAAAATCTAGCGATTTTCTATGAGAAAATATAGAGATTTTCTATGAGAAAATATAGAGATTTTCTATGAGAAAATCGAGTGATTTTCTATGAGAAAATCGTATTGAATTTTCTATAAGGAAATCATAGAGATTTTCTATGAGAAATTCCTAGAAACAAAAATTCTAGAGGAAATCGACAGATTAAATATGGAAAAATCTAGGGAGTTGTTCTATTGCTTTTCTATGGAAAATGTAGAGATTTTCAATGAGAAAATCTGGAGATTTTTTTATAAGAAAATCTAGAGATTTATTATGAGAAAATCTAGAGATTTTCTTTGAGAAATTTAGATATTTTCTTTGAGAAAATCTAGAGTTTTTCTATGAGAAAAGCCTAGAGATTTAAAAAAAAATTACTGATTTTCTATGAGAAAATCCTAGAGAGTTAAGAAAAAATTTACTGATTATCTATAAGAAAATCCTAGAGATTTTCTATGAGAACATTCTAGAGATTTTTTAAAAGAAAATCTTAGAGATTTTCTATCAGAAAATCCTGGAGATTTTCTGCGAGAAAAACCTACAGATTTTCTATGAGAAAGTCTAGAGATTTTCTACAAGAAAATCTTATAGATTTTCTGTGAAAAAATCCTAGAGACTTTATATTTTCCTATCATCACTCTCCCAATTATGTGTATGACGGGCGCACAGAAGGAGGACCAACAGTTTGATGAGTTTCAAACCAAAAGTTCCCTATTCTCTTGTATACTACAAATTCTGCAATTCTTCTTATTATCAAAAAATAATGGCATAAAAAATAATTTACACATACCATAAGAAGATTAAACCAAACGAAATATATACCTTAATAACATTCATGCCGCTCATTAGCAATCTGTAACAAAATCTCCTAATCTCTGTTATTTTTTTCCATAATATATTGTCACAAATACATTTGATCTCAATGCAGGTTTGAAAAATATCCCTAAATACGTATATGCCATTTAACACAAATATTCAACCATAATTTAAGATTTACAGACATACACACCAATTTACGTTCGAAGCAATTTGTTAGCCAAATTCCTATTACATATGCATCAGAGGGCAGAGACATTCTCCATTTATTCACAACAGAGAGCTTTTAGATGGAATTAAAATCAAATCTGTTATTCCCTCCCAACTCTCTCTCTCTCTCTCCTCACACTTGGCATTGTCGTCTTTCATTTCTCTCTTCTGCGAAGTCGTAGCGACTGAAACATTAACGAAATTAACAGCATCATATGTTACATTTTAATGAATTTACGACTCGTCTTTGTGTAGTCATGCAATCATTATGGACCATTATGTATTTTTGTTGTTGTCAGCGTCGTCGTTGTTGTTGCTGCTGCTGTTGCATGGCGTAATAAAACATTTAAAATGATTCATTTATTCATTCCATGGAATAAGTCACATAATTTTTTGCCAAAAACAACAAAAAAGCATAGCATAGGGGGGAAACTAATGTAGATATTCAGGGTAATACAAATGTACTTTTTGACATTGGGACATTTAATTTCGCTATCTACGAAATGAAAATCTAAAGAGCATTAGTGTAATAGGAAGATCAATCAGGAGGGTAATTTGGCCGATTGTGTGCGAGTGTGAGAGATATGTTAAATGTTAATTCAAATATATGAAATTATTTTAAACTGTAGAATTCTAGAAAATCTGTCGATTTTCTAATAGAAAAAAATGAAATTTTCTTTTAATAATATTTTCGCAAAAAATTTGCAAAATTATATAATCTATAGATTCTCTGCTAGAAAATTTAGATTTTCTCATCTGTAGCTTGGAAATCTGTGGATTTTCTTATAGAAAATCCCATATAAAATGTCTCATATATAGCCAAGAAAATTTGATCAACTTCTCCCACATCTTAATATCAGACTCAGTTCTGGTGTCAACATTTTGAATATTCATAACTCTAAGAAAATGTGATACTAGACCCATATTTTATTTTCATATTTAGTACTTTCCTGAATATATCCACCAATATTAGTTCTAATGGAAATGTGCAATATGTCGGTCCATTCCCTACGTAGCATCCCATTAAGATCCAAAAATTAAAATTAAACAAGTAAGCAAAGGCAATAGTCGGACGGGGCCAACAATTTTATACCCTACAAAACTACAATTTGCGGTAAAGTTTCTGCAGATAAGGGTTTCAGATCTGCCTACAATGAAGATCCATTAAAGAACATCCCCATAAAAACCAATTTCGAACGTAATTGTTTCTCTTTTCAAATAGTCATCGTACTTCTGGAAATTATTTTCAAAAAACATACGATCTCTAAAAAAGCATTGGTATTCTACAAAGCAGATTTTGCTATTACGTCAAATACCTCGTTCGGAAAGAACAGCAAATTCACATCCGAAATAAGTTTTTCCAGGCATATTGAACATTTTTTTTATATAATTTTTAGGATTTTAGGTTTGGGTAACTCCTGAATATTTTACGAACATCTTGCAAAACATTAGGTTTCCTAACACTATTCTCATGAAAAATTTCGTGAAGGTCGGACAATAATTCACAAGGAACTCCTTGTGTCTGATAATTCCATTGAAAAATGTGGATAAAATCATCAAAATCCCGAATATCATTGGGTACCGTTATATGGGGGATATACGATATCGTGGACCTATGTAGACAATTCTCTTCCAAGCAATAAAGTACCCACAAGGTACTTCTTGCGTGGATTATCAGACAATTCCTTTAAGAAATGTGGCTAAAATCGTGAAAATACCGAATATCGAGGGGTACAGTTATATGGGGGATATACGATATTGTGGACCTATATAGAGAATTCTCTGTCAGGGGGTAAAGTGCTCACAAGGAACTCCTTGTGTCGATTTTTAAATAATTCCATTGGAAAATGTGGAAAAATTATCAAAATCCCGAATATCATGGGGTACCGTTATATGGGGGATATACGATATTGTGGACCTCTGTAGACAATTCTCTGTCAGGGGGGTAAAGAACTCGCAAGGAACTCATTGTATGGATTTTCAGACAATTCCGGTCAAAATGTGGCTAAAATCATCAAAATACGGAATATCGGAGGGTACTGTTATATGGGGGCTACACGATACCGTGGACCGATATAGCCCATCTTCGAACTTGACCTGCTTGCAGACAAAAGAGAGATTTGAGCAAAATTTTAGCTAAAACGTCTTAGAATTGTACTCTTTTCAAGAATATATGTACTTTGTTGGGTTAAAAATGATTATTTTGATGAGTTACAAACGGAATGACGAACTTAATATACCCTCCATACTATGAATGGTGGAGGGTATAAAAATGTGTTCTTTTGTACTTAGTTATAAACATTTAGCCATGGGCTGAGGGCATACCGACCCATACGTTTGAACTTCAATGAACTCATTAAAATTTTAATACAAACAAGTGTCTCAAAATGATATGGATGATTATAATTTTTATAAATAATGGAAAAATTTTATACACAAATATTAACGTAACTTATTTTAGCTTATAAACTATTCTTAATAAATTAAATACTTTTAAAAGCATAGATACATACATTTCCTACAATATAATTTATGTTTCTCAAGCTTTTTTTTTTAAATAGGAATCGAATAGAAATTGCAACATACAATTCATTTGTATTTAATCTCACTTCATTTAAATATCAATAGTATTATTTAACTAATAAAACGACATACAATTACCACAAATTAGACATACATTGATAATAATATTGAAATCTTAATTTATTTTTATGTCATATTGTGCGTTTTACGGGCACATCTCAGAGACAACCAAATTACATACACACACACAGAGACATTGAATTTAAGTAGGCAATGAAATATGTTTTTCTTTTTGATTTAATTCCACACCACACACACAAAAAAACATGGAAATAGAAAAACGCATGGATAGATAGGCAGGCATTAGTAACTAAAGTCATAGCAAAAATGTTAACAAAACAAATTATACTGTACCGCACGAACCTCCCTGGGGAAAGAATTGCGCATAGATCAGTTTGAAAGTGTCCTCTTTGACGACACCCGTGGGACATTCAGCCTTAAAACCGCGATAAATTCGCTTGATTTCATCCTCTGTAAAGCGGGTAGCACGACTCAAGGCGCCCAGTGAATCGGGCCGATAACGTGCCGGCGTTTCAAATTCTTCTAGTTCAGAATCTGGAAGGAATAAAAAAATAATAATAAATAAAAACACATGTTTTAAATAATCGGATTATGTGTAATCATACAATTATGTGTAAATAATCTGATAATGTGTTAGTTAGGGGGAGTTTATTTTAGGTGTGTGTGCTGAAACATAATTTAGGTTGGGTGAATAAAAATGTTAATTTTGTAGGGTAACTTAAAACTATTTCTAAGCATAAGTGGTTTAGATATGTTTTGCACATTTTTTGGTTGTTTATTTTTCCGTTTTTATGTTCCTTGCTTTTATTTCTTTTACCCTTTCTTTGTTAATTTTTTTGCCCAAGACATATTTACATTTTTATTGATTTAATCCCTTAGAGGATTTACTTATTTTGACAATTTCTGATGTATTGACTTTATTTTCCAAGAACTTCTGTCTACCTTTCAAAGGTAAGAACTATCTGCGGAAAGTGAATTATAACATTGCATGCTGTGAGACTGCTTCCGAGTTTACAGCCAAAAATCACAAATATAGGCAGTTTAACTCTTTTGAACAAAAGACTTACCTCTTCATTTGCGATACAAAAAATATTTTTTACAGAGTACGAAATATAGGATTGTGACGTAACCAAACGTCGGTACTAAAAATTAAATGTAGTACTTATTACAGCTGTTTTGGAAGGTTTGAAAAAAAAAAAAAATAATTTCGAACCAATCCTAACAAAGTTATTTAAGGTATGATAATTAAAACTTGAAAGTGTTTATCCTCAAATAGATTTTTTGTTGTTCTTAACTCAATTTTCCCGGCTAAAATTTAAGTTTTTGCAAACGATTTCTAATTTCTGTAAGAAATTCGATAATTGTCGTATTAAAAATTAATACTGTTCCCTATTTTTCCCTTTACTATTTATCATATTCCTACGGGCTAAAGGGAGTGAACGCTGGAAGGGGAGATCACAAATGAAAATTATATAGGTACACAGTTTTTGTATATCTCCCACTAAAAGTCACTTTCCGATATGCGTGATATTGATGATTGTGGCCTCATTTTTCAACAGAAGTGTTAGAACTTTGGTATATCGACTTCCTAATTGGCAAACAAAAATGTATATAGGTCCATGTTTTTCTATAGCCTCATAGCCTTTTTCTATAGTACCTCTATTTATTCTGAATTTTAACAATCCTAGACATTTTGCAACAGAATTGTTATTTAGCTTTCAATAGGCACTTACCCTCAACCTCGGTAAAAACTTGCCTCATAGTAAACAATTATATACTGTAGGTCTCCTTGATCTAAATCAATTTCAAGACATTTGCTGTCGATCTAGGGGTGTCCGTTCGTCCGTCTGTCTGTTTGTCTGACTGGTTGGTGTGCATGAAGTATATGAAGTATATGAGTATATGATTACATACCTCCCCCACATCCAGTACCTCCCTCACAAAGGGTCAACATTTTGAATAATTGTAACTCTTATAAAATGTCTCTTACATCACATTTTATAAGAGTTACAATTATTCCGATTGTCTTCAAATTACATACACCACAATATTTTTTTAAACTCAAGGTCTGGTGTAAAGATGGGACATAACGGTCCACAGCTTCAGGTACCTGCCTCAAAAAGATACAAAATTTTGAATGTCCATGAAGCTCATAAAACACCAAAATAACGTCCAACTCCATTCAGAGTTGGTACATCTCAATATTTCCATCAACACAAGCTCTGTTATAAGGATGGTAGAGATCGGGCCGCTCCCTCTGGTACCACCCCCATAAAGGGTTAAAATATTTAATAACCAAAACGATCACAAAATTCGAAATAAGCATCCACTTTTTGCACACATCTCAACGTTTTTATTTGCCCAAGGTCTGGTGTAAATGGTGTGACCACCAAGGGTCAACATTTTGAATTTCATGGAATTCATAAAACGCGAAAATAACGTCCGATTCCATTCAGACTTGGTACATCTCAATATTTCCATTAACAATAAATAACAAAAAAGTAAAGTGTACTGAACTATGAACTAGAATGCCACAACTCGAGTGGAGGGTATAACAAGTAAAAAAACATTAAATTCGGCCGGACCGAACTTGTAATACCCTCCACCTTAGGGTAAAGGAAACATTAGAAGCTATTGTGACCCACAAATAGACATATTCGTGGGAAATTTCGCAAAAATCATTAAAATATCGAGAAGTACTGCTATATGGGGTCATTCAAAAACGTGAATCTATACATACAATGTTTCGGCAACGGAGCTAGCTTAGGATGCACATATATCAATTTCTAGACAAATACACGAAGAAATGTAGCAAAAATCATCAAAATAACGAATATCTCGAGGTACCGTCATCTGTGAGCTATTCCAAAACGTGGACCTATACATGCAATGTTTTGCCACCGGAGCTAGAACCCAGGAGCTAGAACCTAGAAAAAATACAAATTTTTAGACAAACCCGTGATAAAATATCGGTCTGCTCCTTCCGGAACCTCCCCCACAAAGGGTCAATATTTTAAATATCCGCGAAGCTCAAAAAAAAACGCGAAAATAACACCCGATTCTATTCAGACTTGGTTCATTTCAATATTTCCATCAACACAAGCTCTGTCATAAAGATGGTAGAAATCGGGCCGCTCCCTCTGGTACCTCCCCCACAAAGGGTTAAAATCTTGAAACGAACATACAATCCGAAATAGGCATCCAGTTCTTTTCAAATTACACACATCACAACATTTTTTTTTTGCCCAAGGTCTGGTGTGAAGATGGGATATATTGGTCCAATCCTTCTGGTACCTCCCCCACAAAGGGTCAACAATATGAAGCTCATGAAGCTTATAAAACGCTAAAATAACATTCGACTCCATTCAGACTTGGTACATCTCAATATATTCATTAACATTAAATCTGTTGTAAAGAAGGTACATATCGGACCATTTCTTCTGGTACCTTCCCCACATAGGATTAAAGATTTTCAAAAGGCAAAACTCTCAAAGAAATCGAAATATGCATCCAACTCTTTTCAAATTTCACACATCCAGATATTTTTCCTAACGCAAGATCCTCAAAATCATCAAAATATTGAGAGGTTCCGTTGCATGGGAGCTGTACGAAGATGCGAAGCTATGTATGAAATGTTGTGTCATTAGAAATACCCATTACGAACTCTAAATACAAAATTTTAAAAAATCCCGGTTATAAATGGAACTCAAATCATTAATATCTAGGGATCCTACCAATTTTTGTAAGAATTAGGAACACAAAAATTGTTAAAATTGAATTGAAATTAAAACAAACATGCGACATATGTGACCTATTTTCAATACCAAAAATCATGCAGACCCAATATAAAACTGAGTAAAATGTTACGAACTTGTTTTATTTCGTTCGGAAGCTTGAGTGATTTCCACAGGCTGACAGATAGACAGAGACACGGGCTAAATCGTAAATCGGCATAGAATTTAATGTTGACCAGGAATGTATATACTTTGATGGGTCCAATATTTTGAGGGGTCATAAACGGAATCACGAATTTAATATACCCTCCATGCTGTGGTGAAGGGTAGAGTTGTGCCAAACTAATTCGATCGAATGATCTCATTCTTTATCTAGTTTCGGGCACTCCGGCCGTTTGTATGAAAGCTCTGCGTATAAGTGATATGAAATTTCTGACATCACTAATACGATTAGAAACTTGTGCAACTCTAGTGGAGCGTATAAAAATCGTGTGACGATGTCATCTCGGTTCAGACCACATACCGAGTTTACCCGGTCAAAAAAATGGTTTTTTAGTTGTTTCCTTCCGCTTATAGCCTCGAGCTCTATTGTAAATCCTTTGGCCGCTTTTGCCCTTACTACAAACTGATTCTGTCATTCAGTCGTCGTTGTAAGCAGGTCTTCTCTTTCGTAGTGGTCATCGTTCTGCAAATATCTTCATCGGAATATTATTCAATTTGATGGGTTTTCTTTATAGTAATACACTACACCACATAGTGGTGAGGTTTTTATGTCTTTGTGCATTTGTTTGCAACATTGAGAAGGAAGCGAGATAGGTCCATAGTTACTTTTAAGGATCTTCATAGAATCACTTTCTGAGTCGATTTATGCATGTCAGTTCTTGTGAACAAAATGCAGGTCGCATATATCATCCGATTGAGGTTTGAAGTTTTCCTAACAATATTTGTTTGGCCCAAGGACGAACCCTATTGAAACTTGTGATAATCGGATCAGATTTAGATATAGCTCCCATATATCCTCAACTGATTTCTAGATAATTGTGCACCGAATGGCCAATATAAGTCCTAATGAATTGAATTTTGGTACATCCCACCGAATCCAGTCTAGAAGCAATTACATAAAATTTGTAGAAAATCGGTTCAGATATAGCTATAGCTCCCATATATATGTTTTATCCAATTTGGGGTTTAAAGTCAACGACAATGATATTTGGTACCAGACATCTTATAGAGCTCGGAAATACCTCTGCCTAATTTTATCAAGATCGGTTCAGATTTGCATATAGCTCCCATATATATCAACCGATTCAACCGATTAAGGGTTAATTGTGCACCAAATGATCAATATAAGTGCAGTGACCTAAATTTTGGCACATCCAACCGAATTCAGTCTAGAAGCAAGTACATCAAATTTGGTGAAAATCGGTTCAGATATAGCTATGGCTCCCATACATATTTTTCATCCGATTTAGTGTTTAAATTCCTCACATTCGTAGTATGCATTAACCAACAATGATTTTTGGTACCAGATATCGTATAGAGCTCGGAAATACCTTTTCGAAATTTTATCGAGATCGGCTAAAATTTATATATAACTCCAATATATATCTTTAATCCGATTTTAGGTTTATTGTGGAAATTATGGCTAATATAATGGAGTGAATTTTGGGACGTACGTTTCCATTTTGTGGAACTCGGCTCCGATACATATTTTTTAAAAAAATCCATCTCGCAGTGATATCGCTCATTCTATACCAACGTTATTTTGTATCAAAGATAAAAATGTATCCGTCAAATTTA